CATTGTCTGAAGAACAGGACAGCTAGGAAGTTTCTCTGAGATTTATTCTTCAACCTGTTTTGCTGAACCCATTTGCTTCTGAGGAACTGAACACTAACTATCTAACATTAGTTTAGGTCAGGTGCAAGCGGCACCTCAGCACAAAGAAATGGCACCTAAACACTCAAACCCACAATCTTAGCATTGTTAGCAGCACATTCAAACCAACTGGGATAACTGGCCCATCAAGTATTGAGACATACTGGTGGAACAACAGGGTGAAGTTAATGCTGTGCTAATGCATTGCTCATTTTGTAGAGAGAAGAATTTAGACTCCAGAGATTTCAACTCAAAACTTCTCATAGCATTTTGTTTTTGAACAAACTATCTGAGAGAGCATGAGTATTTACAACAGATATTTTTACAAAAAAAGTAGAATCCAACATAACACCAAGTAGTCTTTTACCTCTTTCCACCAATATATTTTTATTATTACCTTGTCCGTCTTAAAGACTTGCTGGATTGTAGGTCAGGTTCCCTGCTTCACTTCAAATTAACGTTCGGATGTCCCGCCATGAACTGCAAGAAGCATGGGTAATCAGTAATAGGGTATGAAAACTGCATCAGAAAGCCAAAAAAAGGTTAGCTTACTGTCAGGCCTCACTGGAACAACATACTTCTCAATATATTACATTAAAATGAAAAGGTTGGTATCTTAATTGTAATACATAGGTATGGGAGACACTTTAATGCAAAGGCTAAATATTAAATTGTATCTATGAAGCTTGTAGGTCAACCCTACACAGCTCTTAACAAAAAAGTATTAACATCTCAAAATTTTGTATGGCAATTGCCAACAGCCTGGAAATTCATGAAACATACCTCACAGTTTGTCCTCATAAGGCACGCGCACACACTTTTTAAATATTTGTTACAGTAACCTCCAGCTTATCAACATCCGAAGTTATCAAATTTTTCAAAGTTAAAAGTTTTAAATAGATTTTGCAGTATTATAGCCCAATAGCCCACCTTCCAAATTTGAATTGTACTCTGACTTAAGTCAAAGTCCTCAAAGAAGCATTATGGCAGGGACTGTCTGGGAAACTAGAGGTGATAATGTCACTTCTTCAGAGGAAAAAAGAACCAAAGCAGACAGAAGGAAAGAGCGGCAACTAGGGCCAGAGATCTGCAGCCACCTAATAGAACAGGGAACTCCATGTCCAAAAGAAAAGGTAAGCAGAAAAAGAATGCCTTTCTACATCTTGTTCCTGCCCCATTACCAGATTACCCGAAAAAAATGAAAGCAACTCAGTAGAAGGGGCCCTACTCATGGGCTCCTTCCCCAAGAAACAGTCCATTCACAGTTCCTCTTACATTTGCAGAGAGTTCAGTGAAACTACCTAAAGCTGTACGCTGCTAATGTAACAGGAAGAGGATGGTAATTCCTGCTATAGGGATAAAGGGAAGGTGCAAGGTTTTGCTGGGGAGCCATGACTCAGGTCATTTGTTCAATCCACTATCTGAAACTGAACCCGTCCGCCAGCCATGTAGCTCTGGCCTCCCTGGCAGTACTCATAAGAAGCCAGAGAAGCTGTGAATCCATCAGGCAGCCAAAGCCGACTTCTCTACGGCAAGGGGAGGGGAAAAAAAGAGGGAGGGGGCTGGCCTAAAGCAGCATCTATTCACAGAGGGAAAGACTCAGTTTTGCAGGCTCCAAGGTAACTAACCCTGATGCTGCTCTGAAAATACACATTCATGATATCTGAACATCAGTCTAAAGTTAATTTAGACCATGTCCAAGTTACATCCTGCCAAATCACCACAGTACACACATATCTGCCAAAACCACATAACTCTACTTCATCAACTATGGCCAGCAGGGTTCAAAATACATCTGAGGAGGGCAGGAGCTGCTGAAGGTGGCTGTGGCAGTCAGCAGAAAGCCTGGGCACCTCTATCCAAACTTTGTACCAGCTTTCAGGCAGCAACAGAAGCCTTCTTTCAGAAGGAGGCGACACTACTGTGCCAGCAGAAAGAAGGGCTCTGCCACCACACAGGACCGGAGGTACACTTGAGTTTTCCAGAACTTGAGTTCAGCCAGCAAAACAATGCTATGTGGACCAGACCCTTTTTAAAAAAGAGGTGGGAAAAACCTAAAAAAAATACCCCTGTTAGGTGTGTTAATCTTGATGTCCAAAAAGGAGAAAAAAAACCAGCAAGTTGATACGAAAGTCGCCCTTAACCTGAACAGTGGCGTCCGTCACCTTGCAACGTGCAGCTGGCTCATTTCTACGAGGGAACACGAGAGCTAGCACGGCCATCTGGTTTCTGCTGCACATCCACCCAAGAGCACCAGCTCATCGTGTGACCTCATCTCATTGCATGAGATCATCTCGTGTGACCTCATAGCATGACTTCATCCCCCTGCGTCGCTCATCACCCATCTCTGGCCTGCCACAGGCACAGGAGAAGGATACCTCAGTGCACCTTCCCGCCCTGGTCTGGCTACTGCTGTTAACTGCCATGAGCAACGACCCCCTCCTCCCCCCCACGACACGCTGACGCTTCCCTGACGGACGCTGACGCCACAGTGCTCTTCCTTACGTCACTCCCGGGGTAACGCCCCTGAAGACCCCCCCCCCCCGGGGGCGCCTCTGGGCCCCCCCGCCTTACCTTTCCCCGCCGCCTACGGAGCCGCTCCCCAAGCCCGCCCCCCGGCTCCCCGCCGCTTACCCTGGGCCCCGCTGGCTCCGGCCCGGTCCCGCCCGGCGCCCGGACGTGGCAGCTGAGAGAAAGGGCTGGGACAGAGACGGCGGCGACTGCCGAAGACACCGCGCATGCGCACGCACATGCGCCCTTCCTTTCTATAATCCAGCCGGAGCCCGTGAGACCGCTCTGCGCATGCGTAAACTGGCAGGGCGCGCCCTCCCCGCCCCTTCAACGCAGGCCTGTGCCCGCTAAACCTCCCCGCGCCTGCGCACGCGGAGAGCCTGCCCTGTTGGGTCCTGCACTCTTCGGTTGGAAGGGGCTGTGTGGTGGGCGCATGCGTAGTGAAGCGGATGAGGTCTCGGTCTCGGTCTCTTCCAGTGCACGAGCGTTCTCCCCCTGCCCCCATCCCTGCATGGCATGGGGCTGGGCAGGGTGGTTCCACCCTGCTGGGCAAAGGGGTGAAATAGGTTTTCCCCCCAGCAAGTGAAAGTGCCCTGCTTCTCTAGCGGTGAGAGGCCAGGGCTCCATGTGTAGTGCTGGGAGCTGCGCACCTCTGTAACAGGCAGCTCCCTGCTCTCAAGAGCTGTGAACTGGATGTGGGAGGCCTATCCAAGGGGATCAGAGCACCATGCAGGGCCAGATCTCAAAGCACAGCACCCTGGGGTTCCCTTGAGATCTTTTTAAGGGTGCCCCAGGGCACCGCGCCATGTGAGCACCGCAGTATTGCCAGCTCTCATGATTTTTGGCATTGCTTTTGAAGTCTACACTTCGGGAATGTGAAAAACTTAGCTCTTCCTTTTATATATCATAAGAGTTGGCAACACTAAAAAAAGAAGGCAACAGCAGGCAACACTAAAAAAAGGCAACACCAAGAGACGCGCAGAGATTTCAAGTAGGAATCCCTCGCTGTGGCCTTTCTGTGTTCTTTGCTGCAGAGCTGCTCTATTATTTTTTGGTAGGCAAAAAAAGAGTGAAAATAAAGAGTTGGCATTTTTCAGGGGCACCTCCAGTCTATCCAGGGTTGCCTCCAGACTGAAAAGTTTAAGAACCTCCAATGTAAGGGCTTAGATGATACTTCTGTAACTGAGGTAGTAGCCCATCTCATTGCCAACTTCATGCACTAGAAAGAAAGATGCAACAATTTTATGCAAAGGTACTTCATTCTAATGTCTTCTTCTCCAGCCACTGGCTTTAGTATTTTTTCCCACCAACTCATCAAAATGCCTCTGAATTCAGACCTCTCCCTGGGTGAGGCCCTGCTGCCTGGAAAAGATCTGATAGTTTCACAGCCAAATTATTTCTAGCCCAAGAGGCAAAGGCTTCAGGGCACAGCTATAAGGGGACTTATAAACAAATAGACTCCTATTGCTAGAAAATCCCTGGGAAACTTCTGGTTGCAATCTCTAATGCCTTTCACCTGTAATAGGTGGTATTACACATGACTACAACTTAAGGTGCAATTCAGACCACAATGTTAATTTAAAACGTAAAATAATACCAGGCATAACACAATTCATTTCTATCTGGGGTTTTGTGGTATTACATGCTAATCTAGGAGTCTTTTACATTTAGCAACTTGAGTTGTGGTCGACCAGGGTTGAAATTTCTAAGTGAAACATAGAAAAAAGGAGCTTTAAGGATTTTGTTGTCTACTTCAATTTTCAGCAGGGCAGTTGGAAAGCCCTAGTAGCAACAAGTGGACACCGGGGCTGAAAGCAATTCAGATTGAAATGAGAAGGGAGTTTAAAAACAAAGACTGAATTGATATGTATTTTCAATTTTAAGTATTATATAACAAGAAACAGATCACAAAAATTTGCATAATTTGGAAGACCTTCCTGTTCTAAAATGCCTCACATCTTTCTGACAATTACAAGCACACTCGCTCAGTCTCACTTTCTGCCTCTCATTTTTGCCACCTTTGGACAGGTAATTCAGTCCTTCCCCCACACAAGCATGTACCAAGGCAGCATTTTCCAGTTACCAAAAGGAAACTTCACAATCTTTAATATCCACATTGCAGGAAATATCAAAGTTCAGCTATATTATTGTGATCACTCTGTTCCACGTGTAGATAAAAATTGAACTATTGCTCTTAAACATGCCACAATTAAAAAAAAGAAAAATCACTAAGTTCAGGAAAAATTACCTCCCCCATGCACTTTCAAAGGGTGTTGAAAATGGTTTTTGTGCTGGTGTGAAATAAGTCAACGTTTTATTCAACATCTGAAATATCTACAAGATGTTCAAGTGTACATTGTACCAAAGTCAACATATTTAACAGAATGAATCACAATAATATTTTTTGTGGGGTAGGTGTTATTTATTTGGAGGCTTTAAAGAGAAAAATATTTACATATTAAGCATTTAAAGTGAAAAACACTATGCAAAAAGTTAGGATGGCATTTGCAGAATAACTGCAAAATCAAAACAAAATGGAGAAATATCATTACCGTCCTCATCAGGACCATCATTGTTGTTTCTGGGTATACTTTATGTGTCCACCTGGTCTCAAGGAGGGGCTCTCGTGCTGCCTTGGAGTATGCATCTGGGATTGTCTCTGCGTTTGTCCCAGTGGTCTCAGAGAGTGCCCACAATCTCCCTGAGGGAAACCCAGAAACTCTTCTGCCACGACTTTGATCTTCCTTTCAGTGGTGGGGTCCCCTCCTGTGGTCCCTCTTGGATTGGTCACACTTCCTGGCGGGTATCCATGGGGCTTCACCTCCCCTACACCCCATCCATGCGCCAGCCTCTAGGATGGCCACTTGATGGTCAGATGGCTCGCCCTCCAAGGTCAACTCCTGTTCTCTTCTCATTGGCTGGGCTACAGATGACCTCTCCTAGCCCTACATCTCTTTGGGACATTAAGCTGTCCCTGCTCTTCCGCCACGTCTTTCGTTATAACTCGGCTGACTGCCGTGCTATCTCGGCTGCTCCTAACCCCGGAGCACTGCTCATAGCTGTCACCCTTGTCTCGGGGTCCCTCTAGGTGATCCCTGAAAGTAAAAGAAAAAGAAGAAATTAACAGAAAGAACAAGGGGGTAGGGCTTTGAACCGTTTCCACTCACTGACCCGGCGTCTGTGGCTCCTGCAGTCCCTTGACACTATTCTCACTCCATCCCTTCACTGTGGACCCCTCCAACGGGTCCATCCCCAGATCCATTGCTGGTCGCCAGCACTGCCCATACCCGGTGCAGGAAGCACTTTCGCTGCCTGCTCCCTGCAGTGCCTCCGCTGTGGTCTTCTTGCTGCCAGCTTTTATTTCGGCCAGGCAGCATTCTGGAATGACGTCGTCCATCCGTGCTGCTTTTAACCGGAAATAAATGTGGCTCATAAACTGTGTAGGTGCTCCATGCTGGTGCGGCTTGCCCGTCTCTTCTGGGCCTGAAATAGGTAAGTTTGCCCTGGCTTCAGGGCTTTTCTTGCATGGACGGGCTGTCTCTGTCCCGGGTCCTGCCACGGGAGGGGTGCCCTTGTTTCCATCCCCCTGGGACACTTTACATTCAGGTCACTCAATCCGTAACCCATAGGCCAGATCCAGCCCACATAACCACATCATCTGGCCTACAGGGCTCCCAAGGGGTCTGGAAATTTGGCATCAGGGGACCAGTGACAATTAAGCTACTGTGCATTAGACTAAGTCCACTGCACATTACCATGTTAGCATACTTTTTGCATGAGACGCTAATGCATAGTAGAATTAGTCTAATGCACATTTAGCATCTCGTGTAGATGTGCCCAAAGGTAGGTATTATGAACCTCATAACTTGGAAATACAGGCACAGAAAGATAAATGTCTTATCCAAATTCAGCTGAGAGTAAATGAGTAACAGTACAAGGTGAAAAATTATCTTTCCTAGGCAGTTTTGGGGGACCATTCCACACCTTCCTGCAGAGAAACTGATGCACCATTTTGTGTCTCCACTCTTGTATCTCTGACTTGTCTGATGAAGTAAGCTGTTGCTTATGAAACATTATGCCTCTCTGACTTAGTCTATAAAGGGGCTACTATAACAGGGTAACTATTGGGCCCAGTCATCATGCTGGCCCACCTCTGTATCTGGGCAGTCTGCCCACCTATACTCTCCTGCCTTGATGTGAACAATAAGTTGTTTATTTTTAGAGCAGGATGCTGCCCAGTTTAAAGCCTGATGCCAAGGGCATATTACACAGCTCCAAACCTTCCCTTATACCGTGTCCCATGCCTCTCAGATGGCACCCACATTTTCCATTACTCCCCTGGCTCCTTTCTGGGCCACTCTGGCTGCTGGCCCAACTAGGCCTCCAGCATCCTTGGACGTGCCTGGACCTTAATTCACACCTTTCAGTGGGGCCTCTACTCCAGCTATACCAATTAGCTACTGTGTAGCCCTTCACACCATCTTCACGGCCTGCTCTACACAGCCACTGGGTCCCTACAACTCTGCCCCCTCACTGGGGCCTCTGGATCTCAGGTGTCTGACGAATTACCTGGGCCCCACTAACTCAGCCTATGGCTGTTCAGGCCTCAGGCATACCTGGACCCTTCTGGGCATTATGTCCCTTTGGCTCTCAGACATCTGTCAACTACCTGGACCCCACCTTAGGCCCCACTCAGTGGGCATGGGCCCCTGTTCTTTTCTATCTGGGTGTGCTCCCCTAGCCTTTCCCCTCCAGGGGTAACCCACAAGACAGCAGGGACTGAGGCTTTCTGGTGCCCCATACTCACACTTCACAGGTGTGGCATTTCCTGGAAGCTGCCCTGCGAGAAGCAGCCCCACCCTGATGTAATCTTTTTATGTAATCTTTTTTATGGTATATCTAGCTTTCGCAAACTATATCTCACTAAATACTTAAGGCAACTTGCAGATGCTGGGAGGGGTGTGGTATGTGTGTGTTAACAAATGCTTGCAGAGCACAGCGTGTGGGATGCGGAGGATTCCTGGAATGCCTCCCTAACACCAGCAGGATAATGTCTCCCTGACACTTGTAAGATAGCAAGAAGTTCAGAAAAAGGTCTCATTATAATGCTAAAAATCACACCCCCGGGCAGGGCAAAAGTATGTTAATGAAACATATATGTATGTAAATGAATTACATGGCTAAAACATAGGTATAGAGACATGCTCAGTAGAGAACGTCTTATGTCAGTGGCTTTTAACCAATCACCTAGAGATACACTTGCAAACATATGTATAAAAGGTACCCAAAGGTAGAAACCGGTGGCGCTTGCTTTGCAAACGATTGCCAAGCACCCCTCTCTGCGCAGACTGGAAACAATAAAGATTAAGTTGGATCCTCCACCCCTGTGTGTTCATTGGCAATAGCGCACCGGGCACGAACTCACACTGTCCGTTGGGGACAACAACCACACCATCCAACCCCAGCAGGGTGTAGTTTTAGGTCATGCCCCAGGACCAGGAACCTCTTGTCATCCCCATAGTTCCTACCCTGTCCTTCGGGTGTTCCTGAGCAGCAGCTCCAACTGGGCAATATTCTGCCTCCATCTGCTTGCAGCAACTGATGCTGGCTTTACTGCTCGAGCCTGCTTTTATTCCTAGCAGCTGAGTCCTCTTCCCCAATCAGGCAGTCTCCTGTTGACCAGGTGACTCCCGACTGGGGAGTGCAGCCACCTGCATCTGGCTCTGCTGCCTACTGAGGTCCTTTGAGTGGCAGGCAGCATAGGGGCCCTGCTGCAAGCAGGCACCCAAAGGTGCTCTGCCACAGCCACTCTGCCCTGCCTTCTATCTGACTTTAGATTAACACAGCTAACTACCTCTCTTGGCCTACTGTTGTTTGGAAGGCTCCAAATGCTAGGGATTTGCCCTGCCAGAAAAATCATATATTTCTGGAATCTGAAGAGGTTTTCAAGCCATTAGCCTCTTTTCCATTTTTATTCAAGTTTAATATCAGAGCTAGCAATTACTGTATGTGTAAATCCAGCTGGTCCTCTACAAAACATTTGGTAGGATATGGGATTAATCTAAACATGCTCACTGGCCGCGTGTACATGAGATGCTGTGGTTATTACTGTGGAGTCATTTAAATGTTAATTTAAATGACTGTGCAGTAACCAGAGTTAGACATCTTTTTCATGAAGCTGACTGCGCAGTAGCCCAAGACTACTTTCACGCTTTCTGCTATGCAGCGCTACTGCATAGTAGTCATGGCCTACCGTGCAGTCAGTGTCTCATGTAGACGTGGCCCCAGTGGATGTTACCTGCAAGGGTTCAGTTATTGTTTGAGGCAGCTGGAAAGTCTTTACATTGCACATTGACTTTATAAAAATAAAAGTGAAAAAATGGAGGAAAATATGCAAATTTCTTATGGACAAACTTCTGTTTTCCCTTTACCATAAGCAATCATATTTCCCTTTACCATAAGCAATCATGTATGACTAATCATACAAGCTACTTGCAGATGTTAAAAAGCAAAACCAAACCCTGCTCTTTACTTTAAACTTGGCTTGTTCCTGCGTTAAGCCCTGCGCGTGCCCAGAAGAGGCAGTGTCTTAGCTGGACCCAGCTCACCTGACATCTGCATAGATTGGGCGCTTTAGTGGGGCTTTTTGGTGCTTTTATTTAATTGCTGATTGAATCAGCTATTAGATAAAAAGCTCCAAAAAGCCCCACTGAAGCGCCTGATCTATATAGACACAGCAGAGCTGGGTGGAAGTAACACACTGCTTCTTTTGATAAAGCATGGTTTTTTTAAGCATCTGCAAGCACCCACATATATCAGAGCCTCTTAAACCAGGAAACCTACTCTTACAGTGCCTTTTCCAGGATGAATTAGCCCCAAACAGATATTTTTCCTTAATATGATTGTATCTTGGTCATTCTTCATTCTTCCATAAGGAGACGGTTATCTTTCAATCAAGGAAGAGCTGCAATTTACCCTAAAAAGCACTTTAATTGTGAAGTTTAATAGAAAAATCTAAAATAAAGGTTTCTTTGTTAAGACAAGCCAAGTGAGAAAGCCATCATTTTCAAGAGGTGACTGGCACTTAGAAGATGGAAGTTGAGCTAGTCACTAGAGATGCGTAGCAGGTGCACATGTGTGCACATGCATCCTTTGAGATTGGCTGCCGCTGCTGCTGCTGGCGGCGCCTGCAGGTGGTTACTGTGCCCTGCCCGCCGCTGGTGACACTGCCAGCGACATTTGCAGGTGGTTGCCGATCACTGCTGGCTGCTGCTGACACCTCCGGCAGCATCTGTGGGTAGTTGCCGATTGCCGGTCGGTGCTCGCCACCCCTGCCTCTTGCTGCTGACACTGCCGTGGCCGCCTGTGAGGGCTCCTTGCTTGCTGCTTCCATGCCTCCACCACCGACACTGCTGCTGCCACCATTTGCGGGCAGTCGCCCCGCCCCGCCCCCAGCCTTGGAAGGCATGCGACGTTCATGGAGCTAGTGAAACTTGGCTATTTGTTTAGCATTAGCTTTAGTTTTCTAGTTGAGCAGACTTACACTTTTTGAGAGGGAGAAGGCCGGCATGGGTAAACAGAGTCTATACTTTAAGACAAGAGAATCACCATGCTGTATAGATCTGGGGGGGAGAAACAGACCCAGTTAAAACAGTGATAGAGTTCTCTCTTTTTGTTTTGTGGAATACAGAACTGATCTTTGCTTTCCCTTAAAAAAAATCATGGTCCCAGGCTGCAAAAGTACCAGATACAGGATCTGTCCTTACATAGCAGCATAAGTCCTATGCAAGCGTGGGCTTCTATTAGCCTGTGGCTTTCTGATTTGTGTCCAGTGGCTGCTCAACAGAGTAGTGTTTGCATAACCCAGGACACCCATGATTGCTGTACAAAGCAAACCTTGAAAAGTGCAATTTCACATTTTAACTAGTGTTTTAGTTAGGAGAAATCCTCTGAAAGGGTCTCAGCTGGTCTGGAGGCCTCATCTACATGCTTTTTCTTCTTTAATTTTAAAATATAGTGAGTCTCTGAATGCAGATAAATTGGTATCTGCACCAGTGAGATAACATTCAGCAACATTTTCCTTGAAGATTAATGATCTGAAAGTATATAAGTCACAGACCTGGAGTCCCTGTGAGTGAAATGAGATCTCAGAGTTAATACAATAATGATCAAATTGAATTTTTATTTTTTTTAATTTGGAGAATGACTGTAACAGTAGATGGTTTGCTACTGGTATTATAATTAACTATAATGTTAACGTCTTTAAATACAGGGGATGGGGAGAAGAGGAATGCAGAAATGGTTCCATGTAATAGTGCCATGCTTGCCTCACGTAACTTACTGTAGTATAATATATATGACTTGTAAAATAGTATTATTGCTCTCTACTATCTGGAATGTAAGACCTACATATATATGTATAAGTCATAAGGCCTAGTACTTTAACTAAAAGAGAAATGGTTGTTATTACAGTAACCAGGGCTTATGGTGGGGTTTTGGAGCAAAAGGGCCAATGTTCTATCTTTGTTCATTGCTTAGTTCAGTGGGAGTGAACCTTTTGGCAGGCATGCCACAAAATAGCCCTGTGCCCTCCTTGAGTGCCACTCCCATACCCTTCTCCTACCTGATCTGTTGCTCTGCTTTCTGCCTTTTGCCTTATCTCTGCCAAGGTGGCCAGCAGTGGCCAAGGCCACCATGGCAGCAATGGGGCAAGCAGTAGAGGCAAGCAAATAGTGATGGGCTAGGTGGCCACCAGTTACAGAAGTTATATTTAAAGTGTGATTAGGCCGGGGTAGGCAACGTTTTTTGGCCGGAGTGCCGAAAAAAAACATAATGCCTACCTCGTAAGGTGCCGGAGTGCCTGCATGGCAGAAAAACAAAATGAGGGCAAGGGGTACATGGCGGGATGCCCTGCTTGTGCCCCTTGCCTCCACCCAAAGCCTCTGCCCCCCAGCCCTACTGCCCCTTGCCCCCCACCCACAGCCCCTGGCCCCCCGCCCTGCTCTGGGAAGCTGCTGTCAGCTGGGGTCCCGGGCTGCTCCCAGCAGGCAGCTGGGATGCTGCAAGCCCTGCTCGGAGCAGCCCCGGCTCCGTCGCTGGCAGTAGCTACCTGGAGCCGGGGCTGGCCATGGCGTGCCAAGCAAAATGGCCTTGCGTGCCACGCTTGGCACGTGTGCCAGGGGTTGCCGACCCCTGGATTAGGCCAACAAAAGTGCTCTATGGCCATGATGTAACAAACCTTACAGATGCAGAGTGCTTTAAATACTGGGAATGTCACTTTTATCTGAAGCTGGATCAATCAGCTATTAGATTAAGGTACTCAAGGACATGGCAGGTTAATCTGCCTAGAGCATCTTAATTAACATGTGTAAAGCTCTGAATAATCAGATAACTACTTTAATAATTCCAGCCTCTTCTACCTTCCCTGGTGCATTAGGTAACCATCAGGGGTAGCTTGTGGGGGAGCTGCCACCCAAAAGCTTTCCTAGCCACTACTAGATGGCTAGTGGGCCCCAGAGCAAGCAAGGATGGGGGGCTGTGGCCTGAGTAACCTCCTGACTGTGAGGCCCCAGGAGGAACAGGAACAGGGGGAATGGGTTCCCCTGGCAGCAGCTGAAGCCCAAGTGGGTACTCAGCCAGCCGCTTTCTGTGGTGGCCATAGTGGGGAGGGGAGCGGGGGGTGAGCTCTACCTACCAGCAGCAGCAAAAACTGGGTCTGGTGGGGGTGGGAGAGAGGATAGAGCTGCCAGGTTGCTTTAGGGGCACCAGGAGCTACCTGGCTGCTTAAGGGTCACTTGCCCCACCTGACCATGCCACCACTGCATCAGCCTAGCTGCACCCATTTCCGAAGGGCTGTTTTGGGAGTTTCTGCCGGGTGTATCCTAGCTTTTGTTCCACTCTACTCTTCACTCCCCCCATAAAATGGCCCCTTTATTCATGGTCCTGTAGTGTCCTTTGGGAGAGGGGGTTTTAATGACCAGGTCTGCAAAGGAAAGCTGTTGATAACTCATTAAGCTTATTTAGTGCATGGAAGGGTGTGGCTGGCTGCTTTTTTTGTGTTGCTTAATGGGACATCATAGAATGTCATGGTCATTGGCAGAATCGTGGCCAGGTTGCCTTAAGCCCTATTTACTGGTCCCAGCTCAGTCAGTGATGTTCTGAGACCATGTAAAGAGCAAGTTGCAATCATACCGGTACCCTTCTACTCTCATCCATCGATATGTCTTCTGCATCAGTGCCCTCCATGACAGAGCCAGGCCAGTCTTTCTCCTCCTCCAGTAGGCAACCCCGCAGACATAACTGGGACAGGGACTGCACAGAAACAAGGCATCTAATTGACGTTTGGAGTGAGGAAGAAATCCAGCGCAGACTAGGAAAGCATCACTTGAATCGAGATACCTTTAAGTATATTGCCCAGCATATGCAGGCATAGGGACATAACAGAAGCTAGGTGCAGTGCTGCATGAAGACTAAAGTACTGAGATCTCAGTTTTATCAGGTCCCTGTGTTAAATGCTGAATTGCACCAGTTGAACACTGAACTTTTAATTAAACCAATAGGGTGGTACTCCTTTCAGAATTCAGCACAGGGAAA